TTTGCGCCCGTGAGCGGCCGCTATTTGCGTCATTCCGTCCCGATTGGCTCTCGTCTCTTCCATTTCTCCTTGAGACTTTTGTACGCGGCGTCCAACTCGATGTGACGGTTGATGCACGATTCATCCGAGTGCATGGCCTCAAGGAACTCTCGGCCTTTCTTGAAGGGGCAGGCACCGACAATCCGTGTTCTGTCCCAAGCAAACGTATGCCCGGTGTCCAAGCTATGCATGGCTACTTGAGACAGGTGGTCTCGCCTCTTTACTGCAAGTTGGTGTTCGTGAATGCGTGTAGAGGCGGATTTTCCTGTTTGACCACAATAAACTGCATCACAGGCCTCACATGGGATCTTGTAGACGACTTCCTTTCTATCCAAATAGTCGACCCTATCCTTAGGATGTACTATCTGAGTACGTAGTGTAGTCGTCGGTCTGTGTGCCACCCGAATCTGGTGTCTCTTTAGGTGCCTTTCCACGAGTTCAGACACGTTTTTGATGTAAGGGAGGGTTCGCCATGTATTTGGCTTCGGTGTCTGACTGGAGGTTCTTTGTTCCCTTTCCTTTGACTCTTTCTGTCTCATGCATCGGCGCACAAAATCCTTGGGGTACCCATTTCGGGAAAATAATTCACACAAGTAACTTAGTTCGGCTCGGTAGCCTTCTTCGTCCGAGCAGTGTGTTTTTGCCCGATTAAGCAGACAGTTGACCGTGCTCCGTTTGTGGGAAATGGGGTGGTTGCTCTCGTAGTGTAGAATGATTTCCGCATAGGTTTCTTTGCGGTACACTGATGTGCGCAATGTCCCGTCGGTCTTCCGCTGCACGAGAACATCCAAAAATGGGAGTTCTTTGTCAACTTCTTTCTCGAGTGTGAATTTAATCCCCGGCATTGTTGAGTTAATGATGTTGTGGAGCGTTTCTAGTTGATCCTTTTTAACGATCACAAATGTGTCGTCCACGTACCGCAGCCACAATTTAGGGTTAACTAACGGAAGAGCCGTGGCCTCCAGTTTCTGCATTGTGATCTCGGCGAGGAAGCCAGAGATAGGTGACCCCATTGGGGCTCCTTTCAGTTGTTGGTAGTATTGTTGGTCGAACGAAAAATTGGTTTCCATACACAGGTCTAAGAGTTCGAGTAAGGCAATAGCGGGAATATCCGTGTCGCAGGACTTCAGGAGATCCTCTGTGCATTGTTTTGCCAAATCCAACGGTATGGACGTGAGGAGGGAGACGACATCAAAGGAGACCATCATCTCGTCGGGGGAAACTGTGATTCCTTTTAATTTCTTTAGAAACTCTGTAGAGTTCTTAATCGACGTTTCACAATTCCTAGTGAGTGGATGAAGTTTGTGGAAGAGCCACTTTGCAATTTTGTAGTTAGGTGTCCCGATCAACGATACTATCGGTCGTAAAGGCACCTCAGCTTTGTGGACTTTGGGTAGTCCATAGATCCTAGCAATGGTGGGTTCAGTTTGCTTCAGGTATTTAGCAATTTCCCCCGACAGTTGTTTTTTCCCGCTGAGGCGCTTCAACACTTTATCAATAGAAGAGATCTGTGCTTTGGTAGGATCCGCGGGAAGTGGTTTATAAGTTGATCCATCTTCCAACAATGATAGCATCTTTGCATTATAGTCTGCTTTGTTCAAAATCGCAACGGAGCCACCTTTGTCAGCTGGGAGAACGATAATATTTTTGTCATTTCTCAGGGCTCTTAATGCTTTCTGTTCTGCACGTGATAGTACTGTAAACTGATTTCGGTCTTTCAGGGCGTTTACAGTCGTGTTTCGGATTGTAAATCTTTCCTCTTCTGTGAGCTCTGCGGTTGCTATGATGGATTCCAAATTTGCGAGGAAGTCCAAGTAATTTGAATCAGAAAGATTGCATTTCATCTCTTTAGAAAGCACATTCTCTTCCGATGATGTCAGAATTCTCGAGGACAGGTTTACGACCTTCGCTGGGCACTTCTGGCTTGCATCAGTTTTATGAGAAATGATCATCCACTTTTTGTCTAAGATACTCCTCTTCTTTTGTCGTTCGAGTTGTGAGACACACGTGATGGTTTCGTTCAGAGATTCAAATAAGTCAACTGGAAGCTGGTTTCGGCAAAACTGCATGTGCTGCTCCTTAGAAACTTGGAAATTTCGGAGTCGATAATGGGCATCAGTTATGAACGCATCAAGCATGCTTTTCCCGTAACGAAAGGCAATTTGATACCCCAGGGTAGATCGTATGGCCGGTTTCACACGCAGGGATTTTGGCAAAATTTTCCAGCTTCGGCATCTGTGTAGGAATGATAACTGTTCTCGCGTAAGACTTTCGCGAATTGCACATTTCTCCCACCGTCTGGCTTCAAGCAAAACTATGCGGTCGTAATTCATACGTATGTATTGGAAGGTAGGCATCCCAAAAAATATAAGTTGAAGGCAGAGGCGTTCTTTGGGAAAAGGTACTTTATTGCGTGAATTTTCGACGCCGGTTCCCCAGGTCGTCGTCAGACGCAGACTGAAAGTAAATGTGCCGAAAACAGTTAACATCTGGCAGTGCACATGAAAAAATCGATAATCGTTCGCATTTGCACCCGTGAGCGGCCGCTGACAAAGGTGGCTCCGTTGCGATTTTGAACAAAGCAGACTATAATGCAAAGATGCTATCATTGTTGGAAGATGGATCAACTTATAAACCACTTCCCGCGGATCCTACCAAAGCACAGATCTCTTCTATTGATAAAGTGTTGAAGCGCCTCAGCGGGAAAAAAACAACTGTCGGGGGAAATTGCTAAATACCTGAAGCAAACTGAACCCACCATTGCTAGGATCTATGGACTACCCAAAGTCCACAAAGCTGAGGTGCCTTTACGACCGATAGTATCGTTGATCGGGACACCTAACTAC